AGGCCTTCTCTAACTTGGCAATCATTGAATGTAACTCTGGTCGAAACTGCATAATCCGAATCTCCAAGAATGCTGAGGAATCTCTCCGTATTACTTTTGAAAAAATATGACGTGTCGAATCCTCTTGATTTACGGATGAAACCTAAAGAAAATCTGAGGATATTCTTCATCAAATCAGAATCCTGATTTAACAGTTGAATCGTTACTTAGTGTTAACTTATGTTTAAAACCAAATTTTATTTAAATCGATCCAGTGGTTCTAAAAGGTAATCGACGAAATATAAAAATTCACATAATTTATACCTCATGTGTATTTAAAAAGAGTCGCTCAAAAGTTTTTATCAAATAATACCACGAAATTATTCTTAGTATAGCGAATGAATAAACAAAAGTATAGAACGAGTGGAGCTTAATATTGAACGAAGAATCAGACTGTAAATAAATAAAAATGACGAAAAACGTAATGATTTATGGATTGGCAATTGACTCACATTGCTTTATATTATCATTTTTATTTAAAATAAAATTATATGCTTGAGACACATTTCATTCGCTATCTGCATTTACCTTATTTAAATAAGATATTAATATAATACAAAAAACTGGAAACTACTTCTAATCGTATTTAAAAATTAATAATGAAAGCGGAAGGAAAATTCTTCTTCCTTTCTCGTTTTGAATATCTTCCTTTATTTTGATAAGACATTAAATCTGAAAAAAAGTTTTCGCTTTCAATAAAATTATTTCCTCATCACATTTCCTTTGACTTCATTTGTAGATTTAAAATCCTTTCAAGACCTCTATTGAAAATTTTAATATTATTTCTTCCTTTTTTTTAAACTTGACAGATTTCTTAATTGAACCGGCTTCTTTTTATTATTATTTTTTAATTTGCTGGGTTTAAGATTTTAAAAGTTGTAATATATGGTACGGGAATTTCATTTATTTACCTTTTCTACAGACGAATATCAATATTTATTTAGAGAATCTTTATCTTTAGTATGTAACAAAGAAAAAAATCGTTTCAAATGTTTTACCCAATAAATAAATCTTACGCAGGTGATATTTTTAACTATACTGAGCGCTTTTTTATTTATCTAACCTAAATCAGCAATGTAATTCATTTTCATAGAATTTGTATTGGGAAGTACGCTTTAATAAACACATAGCAAAAAGTGACTATACTACTTTAAATTTAAACGACGTAACTCACTCAAGGCCTGGAGTGAGTGAGCTTAGTAAAATTTTAAACCAACAGTCATACTTTTCCCTAAACCTTGCTTAAAACAAGGTTTAAATCAATGTAACTAAGTTAAAATTGTAGTCAACTCAGAAAAAGTTAATATAACTATGTTAAAATTTACGTAAATGGATTAACTTCAAGGCAAAAAGGTTAAAATTAGAACTGAATCGAAATATAAAATCGAATATTTTTAGGATAAAGCATTAAATTTGGGTGTGGTTTGTCTCCAAATAGAGAAGATATAGTCAGCAGGTCACATTTAAAGTATTGTTGCTTATTGAGTTTAAATTTTAAACACTGGGTCCTTAGCAACGCATTCAATGACGATGCATGCGAACTGTTTACTATTACTCTTGAACACAGTTGTTGAAAAGTGTGATGACGTCCAAATAAGGTGCCCACGCCATCAAACTCAAAACAACTCCCATTTTGCCAATGGGTAAAAAAAAAAAATAAGCAGAATTATGGTTTTTGCTGAAATGAAAATAACTATGAAAGTTGAATGAATTGTCATAAATGCTAAGAATGGTTCTGAAAGAAACACATTTGAATTGAAAGTTTGAAGAGAAACATTAATGCACATTTTTTATATATGCTAACCTTTTTTCTAACTTATTCAGTACATCGTTATTAGAAGAAGAAAAAATTAACACTATTTTTTTTCACTGACATTCTGCTTAAAAAGTTTCCTAAAAACTACAGAAATATTAAATAAATAGTGGATTATTTTACAGGTTTAAAAAATCTTAATTGTTTTTTTAAGAAAAAATGCTTTAACTCTCGGAACCCCTTTGACACTTCCACAGAACCATAAGGTTCCGCGGAACACCTTTAGGGAACCACTGCACTAGAAAATCTGAGGGTTGTGAAAGCTGTATATGCCTAACACCTCGATTTCTAAATTTAATCAAGTAAAGAAAAAAAAATTCGTAACATAATTTACTGCAGTGGGTTCAAGATAAATAATTTTAAGTAAAATAAAATTCGAATAACTAAAATTATAGGGTTTTTCTAATCATCTTTTGCACCTTTTAGTTTACAAATTTAACTTTGTCGATTCAAAACTTTTTCAAACTTTCTAAAAAATATGTAATGGAAATTTATTCATGACAATTTTATAACTCCCCGTTTTATTTTTCATTTGACTACATTTTTCAAGATTGCTTCCAAAACATAATTAATTTTAATAGAATGGTTTGCTAATCTGATGCAGGAAGATTAATGCGCCATTGAGTGTTTTGATATAAAGTTGCCTGGCTTAGAGCAACTAGTAATAATTAGAATAAATTTCAAAAATATAATTTATATTAACTTTAAATTATCTTATTGGTTTTAAATTATCTTGCACCCGGAGTTCTTCTGATCAAGATTCCTTCAATCATATTCTTGTTCTTCTGGTTCTCCTGGTAATCAAATCCCAGCAATGGCTGATGTAAAATGTCGTCAGTAGTGGACGGAATATGGGTTAGAGTCCCTAGCCGTCAGGCTAACCGTGGGAGATAATAATGGTTTCTTTTTTTCATCTAACGCCAATGCGAATTAGTTCCATCAAAAAGTCCTCCACGAAAACAAAATTTTCTCCCAATCCAGGATTACCCTTGTCTTCTGAATTGGATTCGAAATTACAAGGCTACTGAGTTGAACATTGGTAGTCGTAAACTCGAAAATTAGATAGGCTGTTCAACAACGGTTATAATACAAGATAAAATATTTTGTTGTTTGAGCTCATAACTTTGTTGCTTGAGCCCCCTTCGTTCTTTTCGTATTGCTAACAGAGAGATAGAGTATGAAAACGAAAAAGAATCCAGTTTGTTGAATATTTTGTAGGTGGGTTTTTTTCTGCTTTTTCATAGTGTGAAGCTAATAATCACTCAAATTTACTTATGCAGAAAGATTTCAAATTAGCTTCCTATATAATCTCAAAATCCTTTGATTAATTATCACTGTGTGATATTACCATCAGTAAGTAATGAATTTTAACGCATTTGGAAAATCAGATAAATGATTTGGGTTAAATTATTACAATTCACCCGTTGAATGAAACTAATTCAAAATAAAGTTAACTATTAGACTCGAGATTTTCAAATTACTCTTTCCTCAAATTTGCGACATTTTATAAGGCAAAAATGTCGTATATTTAAAGTTCGATTTCTCGAAAATCATTCGATTAATTTTTCTTAAATATTGTGATTTGACGTATAAAATTTAATTCGTAAAAATTATGTAAAAAATTGTATGCAAACTTTTCAGTGAAAAGAATCATCTCCAATACTTGCCCCAGAACACAATTTTATTTGCCAAATTTACGATTTAATGGCATTTGGCGACGTAGTTAAAGCTTAGCACCGGCCCTGAATCTGTTTAAAAGTACATAAATATATTTTTCTCTTTTTTTAAACCAAGACTTGCAATCTTTTTGTTTATAACAAATATACTTTTTTTTCATGAAACTTTGATCCCATAGTTGACTTATCGTAAAGTCACGGTTCTTTGTAGAACACCACAGTCAAGCATCACTGGCACCGGTCAGTAAGATGGTGGGTGACCACTTCGATCACCTTAAAAAGTGACCGATTGCGTACGGTATCGGTCACCATAAAACTGTTTTATCGCTAAGTGCTCGATTTCGCTCGTAGTTCGTGGGTGCATGATACCACTTTTACAACTAGCTGATCAAGCATAAATGTAAACGAAATTATTCGATATGAAACTGTTTATATTACATTTGAAGGTGTTATAATTGACTAAGTTCAATCCCGTGAGCGACAGCAACCAACAAGATATTAATCTGTAAGTATTATTAACTGACTTCGAACTTTGCCTACAACAAATTTGACTCTAAGAAGGAAAAAACACTAAGATTGTTATATTTAAAGATATTAATAGATATTTAAAATCAGTTCGAAATTTCCCGAATTTACACGGTAATTGTGAGAAAAAAAGAGGAAGGAAGCGAATTAGATCGAATCGTAATGCTTTTACAAATAGAAGGAAAAAAACGAAAGAAAGAAGATAATTTTTTTGCTACTTTTTTTTGAGGACTTGGAAATAAAGTTTTCTTACAACTTCTTCGTGCCTGTTGGGCAGAAACTAACAATAAAAGCTACGAGGCACGAATTGACCCAGGAGAAAATGTTCTCTAAAAATCAATATCATATTTGAAAGGTTATTTACAAAAAAACAGTTTTTATCGTAAAAAGTTAAGAATTCTTTATAACTGCTGATACCCAAACTAATGCATTTCCTCTTTATTTTTTGATCTAAAAAATATGTAAATAAACTAAATTCTAAACAAAATAGAACATAAGTTAATCTTGTTTTTCACTGTTAACGTCTTAGGGTGAATTTTAATTCTGGTTTAAATTTCTCACAGTGCTGTATATTTAAATGTATTTTGTGTACTAATTTAACTAAAATGAATAATATTTATTTAATGTTAGCTATAGGTGAACGAAAAATGTGTTACTTAGTAGTATGCACTGGAAATGTTGCGTTTTATAAATCTATCTAAAGTATTATAATATGCATTTCGAAAATGTAACTAAATATTTGCTAAATAATAATTTTATTTTGCGGCTGTACGTACATATTTTATTTCCTAACCGTCGTTGAATTGTCGACCCAATTTTGAGTTTACGACAACCAATGTTCAACTCCGTAGCCTTGCAATTTTAAACCCAATTCAGAAAACAAACAATTGGGAGAAATTTGCTTTCGTGGAGGACTTTCATTCTTAGTTGTAAATAAAATTTTAACGATGACTGAACGCACCAATGAAGAATCTTTTATTGAATTATACACAGATGCTTTATCTGATTGTCCAAGTGATTGTGAATCAAATTCTGGTAACTTCGAAAATGATACTGTATCAGAAGATAGTGAATCTGATATTATGGCTCCAAAATCTCGAAAACGAAATATAATAGTATCAGATAGCGACGACGAATTGGAGGAAGAATGGAACGAACACGATATCACACCAAACTTACCGAATTATTTAAATATTCCTGGTGCAACCATTGATCTTGGTGACGCACCAACTATCAGTGAAGTAACGGATTTATTTTTTGACAAGACATTTTTCGATTTAGTCGTTACGCAGACCAATTTGTACCATTCTCAAATAAAAGCCTTACATAAAATCTCTGCAAAAACGGTATCATGGACAGAAGTGACCACCAATGAAATAAAGAAGTTTCTTGGATTGCTGATATTGATGGGTCAAACCAGAAAATCTTGTTAGAAAGATTATTGGTCAACGGATCTTATAGTTGAAACACCAATATTTCGGGCAACTATGACCAGAATGTGATTTGAGCAAATTCTCACATTTTTTCATCTAAATGATAATACACAGACTTTTCAAAATTAAACCGCTTTTGGATTATATCATTCCAAAATATCAGGCCCTACATATACCCAAACAGGAGCTAGCTGTAAACGAAGCAATGGTACCATTCAAAGGAGGCATCAGCTTTAGAACGTACGAAGATAACGAAGTATGAAATTTTGATCAGAATGCTTTGTGAAAGTAAGAGTGGGTATATATGCAACTTTGAGATCTATTTGGGGCAAGGCAAAAAGTTGCAAGAAACTATATTGGAGCCGTATCTTGGTTGTTGGCATCACATATACCAGGACAACTACTATAACAGCGTTTCTACAGCCGAGCTATTGTTCAGAAGAAAAACATTAGTGTGTGGTACCATACGGGAAAATCGTGGCTTACCAAAAGTCCTGTTGGAAAAATCTAAAAGTTACTTTTTTACGTAAGGGACCAGTTGTTCTTATTGCTGGGAAGGATAAAAGAATAGTACGGATGGTATCAACTATTCATGATGCTTCTATGAAATCAAGTGGAAATCGAAAAAAAAATTATAGAGATGACACAATCGAACCTTTATGCATATTGCAGTACAATAAGCATATGAAAGGAGTAGATCGTGCAGATCAGTATTTGGCGAATAATAGTATTTTATGAAAAACTGTAAAGTGGTACAAAAAATTAGCTTTTTTCTGATAAACTGCACCTTGTTCAATGTATATGAAATGTACTGTACCTATCAGCCAGAAAGTAAAATAAGATATAAGAAATTTCTACTGGAAGTAGTCAGAGAATGGATAACTGTGGTTTCCAAAGAATGCAGCACTGCACCTGACACTTCTCGGAGATATCAAACAGCTCCTTCAAAAGATCCACCCTCCAGGCTTTCCGGGCAACTAAGAGACCACGTCTTAGAAAAAATTGCTACGGCCAGAAAAACAAATCCGACAAGAGCGTGAAGAGTGTGTTCTTCGAAAGGAAAACGGAGCGAAACCCGATATTTTTGCAAAACTTGTGGTGTACCATTACGCGTAGGTGATTATTATACTTTTTATCATACGAAAAAGAAATATTAGGAGTTGAATAATAAATAAGAATTTTTAAAGTTTATTTATATTGTTTTATTTCCACATCTGCTTTCAAAACAATAGCCGGGCACATGTGTTAAAATACTTGTCCAAAATGAAGTTCCCTCACAATGTGAAACCAAAATCCTAATAGCTTAGAAAGAACAATTAGTGCAATTATAAAAACAATTTTGCAGACAGCGTAGAAATATTTATTTATATCGATTTCATGCTGGGTATGGAAGTAAGTACTTTTTAAATGAATTAACTTGCAAAATTATTTTATAGAAAAAGAAAATTGTTTCGTTACATAAAACCTTTCGAAAAACAAATATAGTAACTTAATCACTTTTAAAAACAAAACATTTTAAATTTAATGTTCTTAATAAGCAATACATCTGTTGCGAGAAGATACAAACATGTAATAAATCACTTTAATAAAGTTAAGAACGTGGTGTTAATTCTATACTTTATATATTTATTAATAATAACGTATTCGTTCGCTAACGTATATATTTCTAGCATTCACAGAAACAAACAGAAATCTACATTATACAATTGATAGGTAAATTCAACAAGACTTAATTAAACTTTGTCTGTTTGACATGCATATTACAAGCCGCAAATACTTCAGATAATCGATTTATCAAATTCAACCAGAATAATTATTAAATTTTAAACTAAATTACCTCACAACTCCGATGTCATTTAAATATCTTAGAGCTCCCCATTATATGCGACCTCATAAAGAGTATTAGAAATCCTATCAAACATTTTCGATCCATGAGGTCTATGATTTATAATGGAATACGTGACTTATTTCGAAAGTGATAGACTTGCATTCATTCTACGATGATTGAAGTGACAGGAGGTTTGACCCGTAACTTCTCTCTAACTTATAATTTTATGTTTATTGTATGCACGAAATGAAGATTGAGACAGAATTCAACACCCAGTGTAGAGCTACACTTATGCAAAGCATACAGTGTGTTCATAACATGCACGGATTAGACAGAACTTAGCATATTAAGACTGAATTTGTTATATTCTTCCGAATTATTACTCAAACACAAACAACATCTGCACAGATCCGTATTAAGGAAGACTACTGGGCCCCCATATCATTTTAGACTTCGCGGGAAGCCCAAAACTTAAGGGTACATCTAAAGCAATAGGAAATTTTTACTGATGACTTTTTAAAAAAAAAATAAAAGACAAGTGCATTTTAATGGTTAAATGTGCGAGAGATAGTAAGAGCATTAAACCTAATTTACAGTTGGGCCTAGAATACTAAACCCATTTAGATTAAGAGTTTCCTCATTTTTGTCCATGATAAAAAAAAAAACTCTGTTATTTTTTCGCCGACTGGTCTGTGTAAGGGTCAGGGAGCTGGCCTTGCATCAGAAAGGTTCTGGGTCCGAATCTCGGGCAAAGCATGGATGTTTTTTCATTCTCTGTGCTATCTGTCCTTACTGTACGGACAACGTTGGCCCACCTAAGATGGTTCCCCTGAAAGAGTGGCCAACAAATCTGCCCTTCAAATGCCTGTATGACGAAAGGTCATTCTCCAGGTGGGCATTGGAAAGTTTTTATTTTTTATTTTTCAAGATTATTATCATATCTACATGGATCATCCAACCTATATACTGTTCTAGGCTGTTTATTTACACTGTAAAAAATTCCACAGCAAATTACAGTAGAAAGTATTGGCATCCTGAGTGCCGTATCCGTAAATTTCATTTTTACCGTAAAATTTTACTTTATACTGTAATTTTTACAGTAATATTTATTTCATTACAGTGCATATTTCAGAAAAAATTACAGTATATCAGATTCTTTGTTCCGTAAGTAAATTATTAGCTAGAGCCTGAGTGCTTGTACTTTTTACCGTAATTTGTTCCGGAGTTTTTTTACTATGTGCCAGTTGACAAATTAACGTTACAAGAGTAACAGAACTATCTAAAATGTTTAATTAAGTAAAAAGTATTTAAAATTTTTTTCGAACTAGAAATTATTTGATTTATTAAAGTAAGACATATTTTAAAGTAAATATTATATTCATTGAATCTATAGTACTTGGTTATCTATAGTATAGTATCTCTTGAGTGTCGTCACAAGTGTAATAATTGATAATTTATCTAGAAGCCAATTTATTTTAATAATACGACATGCAGTTGGGCTGAAATCAAAACAGGAACTATTTTTTCTAGATAATTTGTTCCTTGCCTTTTAGAAAAATTCTCACAGTAAAACTTTCCAAAATTAAATATAAAATAAAAGTTCAGGCAAATTGAATCTCATAATCATATTTTCAAAATGAAAGAATTCTTTATGAACACGTAACGAATTTTGATGTACTTAATAAAACAATGAAATAAATACAACTCATCAATTTGCGTCTTGTTTTATAACATTTTTGTTCTTTTGTTATATTTTTATATTTTTTACATTCAAACAATCATGGCTCACCAAAGGTATTGCAGGAAAAAACGTGAAAAAAGTGACTGAAAAAATTTGAAAGTGTAGTTACTTAATTAAAAATACAGTAATTATTCAGATAATGCAATACTAGTTTTGTAACTTACTCATTTACAGATGTTAATTCATTTTTATAGCATACTCCGCCGAAAATTCAGAATACTCTTGAAATTTTCTACTGCTCAACTTTACCATATTTTCTGAAAAAAACTAAATTAAATCATAATTAGAAAAAGTAATAATTAAATAACTTAAAAGGTTTTTGCTACAGCACTTATTTACAAGCTCTGTTGTATTTTCTATACCATTCTATTTCCACCGTATTGCATCTTGTGTTCAGTTATTATGGCTGAAATTGTTCTCAAGTGTATAAAAAATTTCGGCAGTAAGTCAAAGAAGAGAAAAATATAAACATGAAACAGAATATGCAGAAATGAGAAAAAATTACATAAAAAATTATGCTACAATAAAGTAGAATAAATGTCAGCTGGATCAGCGAAAATTTTAGCAAAGGAAAAAAGCTAAGAGAAAGGAATAAAAACAGAGAACTTGTCAAAATTAAGATGTGATAATAAGAAAGAAATGAAGAAAGAAATGTCTAATTAAACAGGTTTTAGAGAAAGTGATAAGAATTTTAGAAAAAATGATAAGAAAGTACTAAAAAGTTTTTACATCACCCACTAAAAAGCTTTCTGAAAAGTATAGTATTATCGAGAAGAAAATAAAATATGAAAAAACTAAAGCAAAAAGAGATATTGGCACTCAGAAAAAGTTATGTCCGCATAGTATTAGAGTGAATCATTCAGTCGAATCTGCATTATTTGGGTGTACATTACCGAAATTTATCCTAGAAAGCACCTGCTATATAAATTTAAAGAAGCTTTTTATTAGTTTAAAGAAACATACCCAGATATTGAAATAATCATTTTCAGCATTAAGACCCAGTTTCGTAAAACCTTATGTACACATTCCACAAAATATCTGTATTTGCAGTAGCCATAAAAACTTTTATAGAATTTACAGCTCAGAAGCTGACATATGTGAGATGTGATAACTATGTATTTAATTGACTTGATTTGCTGCGTCATTCGATTGTTAGAACTCAGACTGATGATTAAAGATCTCACTTTTTTCTGAAAACCGATGTCCGAGACCTAGAACTTCTTATCAATTACTTTCAAAAGGAAAGCAATAATAAAAATTTTAAAAAAGTAATTGTTTAAAAAAAAACAATTACTTAAACTTTACAAAATCTTAGAAAATAGCTGTATCCATTTCTGTAAAGCACCTTTACTCTCAAACTTCAATTCAAAAAATAATACAGACTAAGATAACAATGTCTTGCAAATAGAATTTGCAGAAAATAGTAACTAT